AGCCAAGGCAAGAGGATTGCCTGAGCTCGTGGGTTTGATGTCAAGACCTCATTTCTACAATAAATAAATAAATAGATTAGTGGGGATAGTGCTGCATGCCTTTGGTTCCAGGTACTTGGAGGGCTGAGACAGAAAAATCACCTGAACCCAGTAAGTTGAGGCTGCAGTAGCTGTGAGCATACCACTGAACTCCAGCCTGGGCGACAGAGTGAGACTCTGACTCCACGTAACAAAAATACACAATTTTAAAATAAATACTGGGGTTTTTGCCCCCCTCCCCCGGAAAGCAACAAAAGAAGTGCTTTGCACAAGACCTAAACAAATAACCTGCTGCTATTACCACCACTAACATCACTTTGTGTGTATGGCATTTTATTCTGGTAGCTTTTGATATTTTTGCAGTTCAGTATAGATAGGAATTCAGTATAAATGGGAAAATGTTATCTATTTATTTATTTGAGTCAGGGGTGAGTCCCAGGCTGGAGTGCAGTGGCATGATCACAGCTCACCATAGCCTTGACCTCCTGGGCTTAGGTGATCCTTTTGTCTCGGCGGCCTGAGTAGCTGCGAATAAAAACATGCACTCTAACTTTTTTTTTAGTCGGAGTTTCACTCTGTTACCTGGCTAGCATACAGTGGCATGCTCACAGCCATCGCAGCATTTACCTGCTGAGCTCAGGTTATCTTTCCACTTTAGCCCTCCAAGTAGCTGGAGCTACAGGTGGGCACCAACCTACCCAGCTCATTTTTTGATTTATTGTAGGCACCAGGTTTCACCATGTTTCCCTGGCTGGTCTCGAACCTGTGTACTCAGGCAGTTGTCTTGCCCCAGACTCCCAAAGTGCTGGGATTACAGGTGTGAGCTACCATGTCTGGCTAACGTTTTGATTTTTTTTTTTTTTTTTGGAGAGACAATGTTTAACTAGGTTGCCCAGGTTGGTCTTGAACTCCTGGGTTCAAGCATTTCTCCTGTATCAGCCTCCCAAAGAGCTACAGGCATGAACTACTGTATGTGGTCAGCAATGTTATTCTTACCTATTTCAGTAATCATAGTATGATCATCCACAAATATCTTAATGTAACATGAACTCATCTGTTTTAATAGGCATTTGTAGAGGGTAACTGGGTTGGAGGTCATGGGGAGTATTTACCACACAAATTACAGGAATCTTGCACTCGCTTTCCCGTTTCTATTCTCCCTCATGCCAAACATCCGGCCGGTGTAAGTAGAAATAGTTATCGTCTTCTGAATGAATGAGGAAGAGTAATTCTGGATTGGACACATACTGTCGGTCAATTGCCATCTCAGATGTCCCCATGCACCTCACACGCTTTCCAAGCAACATGAGCAATGTCTCAGCTGGTTCGGGCTCCGTGCAGGGGAGCTCCTGTTAAGAGAGCTTTACAAAGGTGTTAGAACCTCAAAGCTACACTTGTCAACTTTTGGGTAATCTCGCTGATCTGCACAGATGCTGTGTTCCTCGGAGACCCTGGCATTTTAATATTGTGATGTTTTGCCAAATGGTCAAAAAGTGGAAATAATTTGTACATTTCTATTTTTTATTTCTACTGGTGTAAGAGATTGTCTCCCCTTTCTAGGAGGGAAATACCACACATTCCAAGGCGTTGATCTGTGTATGTTGTGGCCACATTTTCCAGAGAATAGTCATTTTTACCCACAGCTTTTTTGAGATGTTGTTGATCACAAACCTCTGATTTTCCTGAGTTTAGTTTTTAGCAAGGAGTCTGCCTGGGAGTGGTACATCTTGGTGTGAGTCCTTGTATGCTGGGAAGAACTACATGGTGTTTGTCTAAAACAATAGAAAAACTACTGGTTAGAAAAATTGCACTAAAGCTAGAAAACCAGAATGGGTATTGTAGAATGAAGTACTATTTGTTTTTCCTGCTTGTTCATGTTGCATCATATCTTGCTATATTAGGAAAATTTAGGCTGGGCTTGGTGGCTCACGCCTGTAATCCCAGCACTTTGGCAGGTGGAGGCGAGAGGATTGCCTAAGCTCAGAGTTTGGAGCCCAGCCTGGGTAACATGGCGAGACCTTGTCTCTACAAAAAATTTTTAAAAATTAGCCGGGTGGTGGCATGTGCCTGTAGTTCCAGCACTTTGAAGGCTGAAGCGGAAGGATTGCCTGAGCCCAGCAGGTCGGGGCTGCGGTGGCTGTGAGTGTGCCACTGCACTCCAACCTAAACGACAGTGAGACTCCGACTCAAAAACAAAAAAAATGACCGAGGAAGGTGGTTCATGCCTGTACTTGCAATGCTTTGGGAGGCTGGGGTGGGAGGATCACTTGAGACCAGGAGTTGGAGACTTGGAGACCAGACTCTGGTTATACAAAAAAAAAAAATTATATTGGGAATTCAGTGAGGATATAGGTACATATATATGCTCTTAATATTTTTTGAGCCAGGTGTGGTGGCTCAAGCCTGTAATCCCAGCAATTTGGGAGGCCAAGGTGAGAGAATTGCCTGAGCCTACGGGTTTCAGACTAGCCTGGGCCAATTTGGCGAGACCTCGTCTCTACAGTAAATCAAAAAAATTAGCCGGGCATGGTAGCGCATGCCTGTAGTTCCAGCCACTTGGAAGGCTGAGGTGGAAGGATAGTAGTCTGAGCCTGGCGGTCGAGCCTGTGGTGGCTGTGAGTGTGCCGACTGCATTCTAGCCTGGATGACAGTGAAACTGTAACTCAAAAAAAAAAAAAAAAAAAAAAGAAAAGCTGGGCTCGGTGGCTCAGCCTCTAATCTCGCGCCTTTGGGAGGCTGAGGTGAGTGAATTGCCTGAGCCCGCGGGTTCGAGACCTGCCTGGGCAGCTTGGCGAGACCTCATCTCTACAATAAATCAAAAAATCAGCCGGGCTTGGTAGCGCGGCCTGTAATTCCGGCTACTCGGAAGGCTGAGGCGGAAGGATCGCTGGAACACAGCAGGTCGAGGCTGTGGCGGCCGGGAGCGACCACTGCACTCTAGTCTGGGTGACAGAGTGAGACTTCAACTCAAAATAATAATAATAAGAAGAAGAAGAAGAAGAAGAAGAAAAACTGACTTAGACTGGTCTGATAGTAGTGGGTTATCAGAACTTATTAATATTAACGTCACTAAAGTTGGTATTCAAACCCCCACTGCTGAATTTGGCGTAAAAAAAAACTAAAGGAATTATTTTCCTCTGAGTTAAAAATCAGAGATAATTGTGTTTCTAGGTCAGGTGTATGCAAAACTTCTTTCTTTCTTTTTTTTTGTTTTTTTTTGAGTAAGAGTCTCATTCTGTCGTCCAGGCTGGAGTACAGTGACGTGATTACTGCTCACCACAGCCTGGATCTCCTGGGCTCAGGCGATACTTCCACCCCAGTCTCCTGAGTAGCTGGGACTAAAGGTGTGCACCACCATGCCTGGATAATTTTTTATTTTTATTATTTTTCTTTTCCTTTTTTTTCTTTTGAGTTGGCGTCTCACTCTGTTGCCTAGGCTGGTGTGCAGTGGCATGCTCCCGGCCACTGTAGCCTTGACCTCCTGGGCTCAGGTGATCCTTCCTCCCCAGCCTTCCAAGTAGCTGGAACTACAGGCACATGCCACCACAGCCGGCTAATTTTTAAAAAAAATTTATTGTAGAGATGAGGTCTTACCAGATTGCCCAGGCTGGTCTTGAACCCTTGGTCTCGGGCAGTCCTCTCACTTCGGCCTCCCAAAGTGCTGGGAATTTATAGGCATGAGCCACCGTGCCCGGCCTATTTTTATTATTTATTCTAATTTTTAGTGGTGAGGTTTTACTGTGTTGCCTAGGCTAGTCTTAAGTTCCTGGGCTCAATCAATCTTCCTGCCTTGGCCTCCCAGAGTGCTGGGATCACAGGCATGATCCACAGCACCCAGCCAGAAAAGCCTTTTTAAAAGTTCTCATTATATGTCTGATTTAGCTTAGTATTTTAAAAAACAATTATTATAAGGACTGAATGTTTTATTCTGAGGACTGAATTAACAATACCAGAGTTCATTGTGCCAATGTGATAAATGGTTATTTATTTATATTTAAAGTAGGAAAATAAGCAAAGAAGTATATTTAAAAATAAGGTTAAAAATGGCAATTTGAATTATGCTTATTATTTTAAGTGTCTGTTTTAAAGCTTAAGTGTCATAAAGCTCATCTTGTCATAGGAATTATTTTTAAAATTTATCTACTTATTTATTTGAGTTGGGGTCTCACTGCAAGGCTGTTGTGCGGTGACATGATTGTGGCTTACTGCAGTCTTGACCTCCTGGGCTCAGGCGGTCCTTCTGCCTCAGCCTCCCAAGTACTACAGGTGTATACCACCAGGCCTTGCTAATTTTTAAATTTTTTTATAGAGTCAAGGTTTTGCCATCCACTATTGAGCTCCTGGTCTCAAGCAATCCTCTCTTCTCGGCCTCCCAAACTATTGGGATTACAGGCGTGATCCACCGTGCCGTCATAGCTACTATTTCAACCACAGGATAAATTTCAGTCCTGAATATTATGCAAGCATGCTCGTTGGGTTTAAAGGAGAAAACAGCTTTTGGTCATGCCACAAAGCTGGGCCATTGAGTTTATTAAGGACACAACATGGGTAGGGATGACACGTCTGGCCTTATCCCTGAGCACTGGCTGAGAAGTTATGATTACCCCAGCACTAGGCTATGTTAGTTTCGTGACAATTTTTTTTTGGTCAGGAACATTAAATGGGAGTGAGCACTTCCAATTGATGGCAGCATCTTGGCGTGCCCTATGGTATTTGGCAGCTGATTAGACTTGGGCTGGAGAGTGCCCTCTCGTGGCCAAGACTGATTTGTCAACACAGCTCTCAAGTCTGTTTTCCTTGAGTAGCAAAGCTTCCTGTTCTGTGAAGCTAGCAGATTAGCCAGAATAAATTCATAATGAACATTTAGCTGAATTTTGGTCTTATTTTTATTTTTGGTAAAATGGATGGATTGAAAGAACTCAAATGGTCTATTTTTGTTAACTTGGTTTTTTCTACCATAGGTCTCTACAAATGGCAGCTATTACATCAGACAGTGACGAGTCCTGCTGCTCCCTTACAGTGTCTGACAGACCACTGTGGATTCAGACTGGGAGCATTGAAGTTAACAGTGAAACGGGCAGGTCTGTCTGTCTTAAACCCTGCCACAAAGTCAAGAGGGCATCATGTCATCACTGAATCATTCCTGAAGTAGATTAGGCTAGACTTAAAAGTTAATTCATTAGTTCTTTTTCTTCAGTCTTAATTGACCTTGGTGGCTGGGTGTGTCTTGTGTAGGTGGTAGTTTTAATGAGTGAAACTAACTTTCAATTGATACTACCTGCCGCGCTAAAGCAGTAGAGCCTCTTGTGAGCGTCCATGAACTGTGAGCAGTTTCTCTTCGGGTTATGGAAGTTGGGTGTTACCTTGCAGAATTGCAGAATGACGTCAGCACTGAGTCTCCAGGGAAAGTCAAATAGTGGATTTCTCTATCTTTTCACTGTCTCAGTCTTTTTTTGCCACTTTTATATTCATTACTGAAACTTCCTAAATAGCCATTACTTCTTACTATATATACTATGTATATACAAGAATATATATATATATGAACATATATATATGTTCTTAGTGAATGAATCTCGAAACCATTGTCATTGACATAAAGCAAGTCAAAACTCCAAAGAATGGTAACATAATGCTAAAATGTAGTTGTGATCTATTTTTTCTTTTTTTCTGAGTTGGAGTGTCACTTTGTCGCCCAGGCTGGAATGCAGTGGCATGCTCACAGCCACTGCAGCCTCGACCTGGGCGATCGCCTCAGCTTTCCAAGTAGCTGGAACTACAGGTATGCACCACCATGCCCGGCTAATTTTTAAAATTTATTTTAGGATGAGGTCTTGCCAAGTTGCTCAGGCTGGTCTTGACCTCCTGAGCTCAGGCAATCCTCTTGCCTCTGTCTCCTAAAGTGCTGGGATTACAGGCGTGAGCCACCGTGCCCAGCTGTTATCTGTTTCTTTAAGCAAATCTATTAATCACTCCTTTAATACTGCCTAAAAGGCTTATTTTGGGCCCTTATGTGATAGAAAACGTTTAAGAATTTTGTGTGTTTGTGTTGCTTTTAAATTTTATTGCTTCCTTGAATTAAAGCTCTTCAACCTTGGTGTTTGTGCAGCTGGTGAAGGGCTACATAGTTGCACATGAGCTGTAGTCCGCAAGCTGGGTCACAATGGCACATTTTGGATGAGAGATTAGCAGTTGGGATTTTGGACATTTATCTGCAGAGTGGTGGTAGCTACCCTTCAGGTGATCTCTTGAAGGAATAGTGTTTTTTATGTTTCTACTCCTTTCATGGGAATGGTAAGATCTGCTTGAATCCTTGCCTTTCCTGCCCTAATCAACTGTGCTTGAAAAGACCTCACTAAAGTGAAGCCACATATTGAGAGAGCCATAAATAGGAGGAAATGGAGTTGGACGTGGGGTTGGTTGTCTACCTATTTTTCTCTTTCAGTTTATAAAATGGGCACGTTTGCTTCCAAAATTTGGTGTGTCTAGTTGTATCAGTATTACAGTTATGTTAGTTTTAGAAAGTATAACCTTTTCTTTTCTTTTCTTTTTTTGAGTCGGAGTCTCACTCTGTCGCCCAGTTGGAGTGCAGTGGCACACTCAAGGCCACCCCAGAGTCAACCTGCTGGGCTCCGGCGATCCTTCTGCCTCAGCCTTCCAAGTAGCTGGAACTACAGACGTGTGCTACCACGCCCAGCTAATTTTTGATTTATCGTAGAGACGAGGTCGCACCAAGCTGTCCGGGTTGGTTTCAAACCCGCGGGCGCAGGCAATCCACTTGCCTCAGCCTCCCAAAGGGCTTGGATTATAGGCTGAGCCACCGAGCCTGGCCAGTAAAAACTTTTCTTAGCTCAATGTTAGATTTTAAAAGTGTTAATCATTCTGTTTCTTCAGAAGCAAGGACTACATTAACCTTTCATCTGTGTGTAGTAGTTATGGCCAGAAGCCATTTTTCATTGCTTGTGAAGAAACATGGTAAGAATGCCCTCTGTGCCATTTATCTTATAGGCCTTGATCTAGTAAGCAAAGGAAGCAAGGCAACACTGGGAAGGGCATGTGAAATCCAGGGTTCTGTCAATCATGGGAAAGATACCTATGCTGCAGTGTTTGAAGTTAAATATTGGGAAGGATGAGGTGGCTTTTCTTTTTTCTTTTTGCATTGTGTGTTTGTTTTATCCTTTATTATTCCACAGAAATGCCATAACTTTGGTTTACAACTGCATTTAACCAAAAAAATTCATCTTTCTTTCCACGGATCACCTCTTTTGAAATTCAAACTCTTTTGGGCACATGGGCTCCTGGGTTTGAGTCATAACGAGGGATTGTCGAGGGCTGCAGGGGGGGGACTCTTTCTGCTTTGTGGGATTAGAGGGAGGTTGGCAATGTGGGACATTCTGGTCTTGCTGCATGGCAGTAATTTTGATAAGCCTTGCTCTCTAAATGCTCTCCATGGAGTTCTGCTTTTCGTTGGAGGTGTGGTGAAGCGTGGCTCTGCTGATAGTTTGCTGCTGTGATGAGGGACACTGGTCAGTCTGCACACACGTTGTCTTCTGGTGTCAAAATGGTGCTCTTGCTGCCTTCTGACATGCTGTCTACCTGTGGGGAGGTACCCACCACCCCTTTCTTCTGTGTTGTCTGCAAGCATGTAGACAGCGTGATCTGCAGCTGATGTGTACACAGCCTGCTACTGTATATCAGTATGGTCCTTAATGCTGTAGGTTCACCTGTGCTAGGGGAAGGCTGTTGGTGCTTCATAGCAGTCCACAGTAACTAAGCTGACTCAGAGTTACCTGAGAAATGGCAATACAGAGAACAAAGTTACAATTCCCGTTGATAGGCAGATATTTAAAAGCACACATTTTTTAGACACTTGAGTGCAGATTGATTGTGTGAACATGAGTCATTTTACACTCATGTTGGAATCTGGCTTGATACACTTCAGAAATAACATGAATAGGCCGGGCATGGTAGCTCATGTCTATAATCCCAGCACTTTGGGAGGCCGAGGTGAGAGAATTGCCTGAGCCCATGGGTTTGAGACCAGCCTGAGTTAGAGACCAATTACTTGGCGAGACCTCATTCTACAATAAATCAAAAAATTAGCCGGGTGTGGTGGCGCATGCCTGTAGTTCCAGCTACCTAGAAGGCTGCGGCGGAAGGATCACCTGAACCCAGCAGGTTGAGGCTGCGGTGGCCGTGAGCGTGCCACTGCACTCCAGCCTGGGCCACAGACTGAGACTCCACCTCAGAAAAAAGAGAGAAAAAATAACATGAATGTTTCTGCTTGCTTAGAGTGGCAGCAAGGTGTTTTCTAAAAAGAAAATCTGCCAAGTTTAACTGATCTAAAAAAAAAAATCAGGTGTGATCCCATGACTATGTAGGGCTTAATTGAAACAACAAGGACTTCATTTTTTTCATAGAATTACTTGTGCTTAACTACATTTTCTTCCTTTTCTTTACTGTATTTCAGCACAAAGACATTAGCAGGCTGCTGGTTTCATGGACCTGTACCACAATGACAGAACACCAGCACATCAGAACTGAATGAAACTGGAGATTTTTAAAAGCTGCACTAAGAAGTAAATGTTAAGGCAGCGGTTAATACCAACAGTCTGTAAAGGGGCACTTGCAAATTGTGCTGTATTAAACCGAAGAGATTGTATTAGGGAATCTTTTATACAAAATAAACTATTGCAATAAATTATGCATGAGATGAGGGGAAAAGTGATGTCAGACACACATACACAAGAACTCAATTGAATTTTATGCACGAAGAGTCACCGTCAGCTGCTTCTGAATGCGAAGTTCTTATCAGCACAGTTCGGACAGACCTGAAAGACTGGGGATGATGCAGAAGTGTCGAGTTATTTTTCATGCTTGAGCTTTGTGCTTTCTCCAGCGTTCAGGTTAGTCGTTCAGACATGAGCAAAGGTGTTTCTAAAATGGCTCTCCCATGAAACAGCAGTAGTCACATCTGCAAGGCCAAGGTTCCCTTCAGGATGCTGATAGAAACAACAGAAAAGGTGACCCAGCATCCTGCTGGAATGGAGAACATGCCCCACTGCCCCCAACAAAATTGTGATCTTTTCTTTCTTTAATAAAGCAGGGCTGTATTATCTTGACTATATGTTTGCTTGTTAGAACATACTAAGATGTATTTATTTGCCACTAGTATTTAACATATTGTGCACATTTTCACAACTACATTCTTTCAAATTTTGACTCAAAGTGGATAGGCTAGTGTTAACTTTGGAGTGAAAACATACACTCCAAGAGCTAGTTCTTAATTCCATTGTGCTGGAAAGGCTTTGCCATTGTCTCTGTCCTTACTGGTTTTATGTAGTTCAGAAAAGACGACAACAGCAGAATTTTGATGTGGACCTCTCCACAGAGAGGCCCTCCTAAGTGCAAGAAATGCTAACAGGTGTCAGGTGGGACCTGGGTTACAAGTGGCAGGAACAGACCCATACAGTGTTGGACTTTTCATGCGTGGATCGTGAACTCTTATGAATAGAGACTAATTTTTTTCTTGTCTTTGGTGAATACATATTATGAAAAAGACCTTAAGTTTTCTTTTTTAACAAATGGAGAAAACATGAGAAAACCAGATGGACCTGATAATACTACATTTTTAAGGCATTTTATATTTGATGGTGCCGTACTTTTAATAATAATAAAACTGAAGTTTTTTAGTGGCAATACTGATTTATTTTTTAAACAAGAAAGATAGTCCATATTGATTACTTATTACAAAAAAGGGGAAAATGCCAAAAAATAAAAAACCGTAAAATTCATTTGAAGCAACATAACAGTAATTGAGCAGTGGCTCGAGTATTCAGACTTCCACAATGCTACTGTATAGGTTTGGAATTATGTAATAAGCCCATGCTCAGGATTAACAAGAGGTTCTGGGTAAGTTTTAGAACATTTAATATACCTATGATTTGCATTATAAACTCAAGGAAAGACAGGCAGTCTTGAGTCTAATGAGCTTAACACAAATTTTGATTACACTGCAAGTAATTAAAAGTTTTGATTGTATTCTAAAATTGTCTTTGGAAATTCCGTATCATGAAGTCATTTTATCAAATCAGAAAAGGTCAGCTCAGGAACTGAGCAGGGAGTTCTGAAAATGACACGAAGGACAGGGGTCTCTTCTCTATGGCCCTTGGGCTTTGGCTTGGGTTCATCTTGTTCTTTCAGATATGTCACACCAGCAGTACCTTTCACAGTCACTCAAGAACCTGATCACTCCCAAGCCATGGTGGGATGACACATGGGTTGTATCATCAAGATTTTTAATTAAGCTTTAGAATTCTTTATTTGTGTAGACTGATGGAAATGACTTAGAAGTAATAATATAAAGCGAAAGAATTGGAAGAGATCAGGTTTTAAGTTTCTACGTATTTTTTTCCTCAAGACATATTCTTGAAGGTGTTTTGTTACAAACCAGATTTTCATTTTTTTAAAAATGAAACTTGGTGTTTAAAATCTAGACCTACCATGTTGCTATTTCACTCCCATTGCTTTAGTTGCTTAATATTTAAGCTTTGCGTCATGCTACCTTTTGTCTCTATTTCAAATCTTCATAAGCCTATTTTGTTTTGTAGACTTGAATGATAAAAATTGTTTCTCATCTTAAGTATGCTCAGAGTTTTAAATGTTAAAGAATGTTGTGTAACATTTATCCAATAAAGTCTTTGATTTTTTTAAAATTTAGTTATTTACAAACGATGTTTACTTTATAGATGTAGTTTTTAAAGATTATTTTTTTAAACTATTAAAACTCAATCACTAGCCATACTCCAGGGAGTGGTTTGGCGTATCAGTGCTTCCTAAGGAGAACAGCCTGTAGGTTTCTAATCACTGGGAGATTTATGGGAACTCTATGACCAAGGAGAGCAGGAGGGCAAACAGTTTAATGAGGACCCTGTGGGCAAACATGGTTATGCTTTTCTGATAGGGACATCCTCCCCTTCAGAGCTGGATGTAACTAAGTATCCACTGGTGGGTTGTGTTTGTTTTCATTTTAGGGAGTCCTGCCCTTGTGGATAAACGGTTGTGTCTTTCAAAGCCCAGCACATTCGATGAGAGGTCAGGCATTTGAACTGAGAATCAGAAACACTTGGTTACCTGGAAAGAGTTAGGCTCTTGAAACCCGTAGACAGTTGAGAGTTTATAGGACTGACCCAGAAACTTAGGTCAACGGACATTCTTTTTCCGTTTCAGTAAAGCAATCCTTTGGCTGTCTGTTATTCCAGAGTATACATAGTCTTTCATCTCAAACATTCTCCCATTTCAGTTTATCTAAATGAGTGTTAAAAAGAGGCCACAGGAATCTGGCTCTGTGGATATTTTTTTTTCTCTTGAGTTTCTTACCAGTGAAGATGGAGCTAGAGGGAACCAGGGAAGGTTGTTAAGCCACGTGCTGGTCTGGGAAGGCCCCTTGAGACCCATGCCACTCCTGGTCATGGGGACTCACCTCAGCACATCCCATAGACCAGCTGCAACTTGCAGGAAGCGAGAAATGAGACACCTATGCAGCTTAAAGTCTTTCTGAGGCTGGTCTTCAGATAAGAAAGCGGACATTCATTTTTCCTCTTTTATTTTGAGTTGGAGTCTCATTCTGCCCAGGCTGGAGTGCAGTGGCACGCTCATGGCCTCTGCAGCCTCGACCTGCTGGGCTCAGGTGGCCCTTCTGCTTCAGCCTTCCAAGTAGCTGGAACTACAGGTATGCGCCACCATGCCCGGCTAATTTCTTGATTTATTGTAGAGATGAGGTCTCACCAAGTTGCCCAGGCTGGTCTCGAACCTGCAGGCTCAGGCAATCCTCTCGCCTCGGCCTCCCAAAGTGCTAGGATTGTAGGCATGAGCCACCACGCCTGGCCTCATTTTTCCTCTTTCTAGAAAAGATTCTTCTCCATGCTTTGAGTAAAGCATACTCAGTTTTTAAAAGCATACTTTTCTCTTGTTATGCCAAATCTTTGCTTATTACAGAATGAAATGTTATGGTCTTAACAACTCCCTTCCTTTGGTATCAAGAAGGTGACGGAACTGGGGAGAAGAAGGATGCTCTTTGGGAATGCTGTGCCAGAGGAAGAAGGAGCTGGTCCGACCCTGTGGCGAGCCAGTGTCTCCAAGAGTTAGGAGGGCTTCTAGGATTAGCCCTTTCATTGCTTCCTTGTGAGAAAGTTCGTAGGAGCAACTGTCTAACCTAAGAGAGGGAAGGTGAGCTGGTGATGTTAAAGATGTTTTTAAACTGATTACCTGCCTCAGTCCAAGAGGTAGGACACATGGATTCTAACCGTAGTTCTGTCAGTGACCTTCCCGACAGCCAAATCCCACAGTAGCCTCATTGGCAAGCTTCTCGCTCACCAAACCCTTGAGTTCTTACTCAGTCAACACCAGAAACAATGGGGCCATCAGGATTTTTTTTTGTTAATTGAAATATTCTATAGTCCATTGTTTCCAAGTTCTGTTTAAGCCCAGTGCCTGAGTCCTCTGGATCCCATATAAACAGCTCAAAATTCGTGTGATTTTTTTTTAAGATTTTTGATTTGGAGTCTCACTCTGCTCATGGCACCACAGTATCAACCTGCTGGGCTCAGGCGATCCTTCCACCTCAGCCTTCCAAGTAGCTGGAACCACATGCATGCGCCATCACGCCTGGCTAATTTTTCTTGATTTTATTGTAGAGATGAGGTCTCGCCAAGTGGCCCAGGCTGGTCTTGAACCCGTGGGCTCAGGCAATCCTCTCACCTAGGCCTCCCAAAGTGCTGGGATTATAGGCGTGAGCCACCGTGCCCAGTCGTCGTGTGATCTTCTAAGTAAGGTAACCATAACATCAGTGTGAAGTGTCTTGAAGGAAAAGGGGAGGCTGACATGCCATTGCCCCAGAAAAGCACAACCGGTGCTACAGAAAGACACCGCAACCTTACAGAAGACACGATGGGTGAGACTCTTCATGTGTTTATTTTTTGAGTCAGGGTCTCACTCTGTCATCCAGGCTGAAGTGCAGTGGCACAATCATGGCTCACCACAGCCTCGGCCTCCTGAGCTCAGGAGATCCTTCTGCCTCAGTCTGTCAAGGAGCTGGGACTACAGGCATGCTCCACCATGCCTGGCTAATTTTTTTCATAAAGTTGAGGTCTCACCATGCTGCCCACAGGCTGGTCTCGAACTCCTGGGCTCAAGCGATCTTCCTGCCCCGGCCTCCCAAAGTGCTAGGATTATAGGCGAAAGCCACCACACTTCTTCATATGTTTAAATGCACTTTAATGCCTGTAGAAAATGAGGTTGGCCAGGCAGGCTTTTGCAGCACAAGCTGAAATCATAATCCCCAGTCTCTGATATTAACTCTGCCAATGGACTGCCCTAGGAAATGGTCAGACCTTTTCTCCCAGGTAAGTTCATGAGGCAAAATGGCAAATGTTTTGGGGCAATCAAACCACCCCCTACAAAAGTCTTGAGACCAAAGTACCACATAGAGCCCACCGAAACCTACCCTCTGACACTTAATTCTCCCACCTCCATACCCTTCCTGTCCATTCTGGCCTCCCTGAGGACTCCTGGCAGGCTTGCTTGATTAATTTCAGGCTTGTGAGTTTTTGATTGTGTTGTGCCTGTGTGCTCAGGCAGCATGTGGCTGGCCTGGCGTGAGTCCAGCTGGGATGTCTGGCACCGCAAGCCACAGAAGGACAGAGACTCCAGTTATCTTCACATTTGGAACTAAGTTTCCCAAAAAGCCACTGAGCTGGTTTCCTTTACTCTGTTGTGAGGATTGCTGGCCCAACGAGCCTAGGTCTGCTGGCAGTTCTTCCCTTGATTGGTTGTCTTTGTCTGCAGGCCTGACCTAGCAGCTGGGTCTGACAGGAGTAAATGCTAGCTGTCATTGGGCTACTGCCACACGTGGCTGACTGTGACCTTGGCAGTGAGGCAGCAGGCCCTGCTGTGCCTCGGTGAGCCTTCAGTGTCCCCTGGAGTAGAAGGAAAGAAGGCAGAGAGCCCTTCTAGTGCTGGCTGACAGAATTTAGCTTGTGTATTATGAGCTTATTCCTACTAGCTGACCTCGATGGGGCTGGGCAATTAGAAGAAAACATTATTATTTATTTATGAGTTGGAGTCACTCTGTCGCCCAGGCTGGAGTACAGTGGCACACTCATAGCCACCACAACCTCAACTTGCTGAACTCAGGTGATCCTTCCGCCTCAGCTTCCAAGTAGCTGGAACTACAGCTGCGTACCACTACGACTGTCTTATTTTTTTGACTTATCGTAGAGAGCAGGTCTCACCAAGTTGCCCAGGCTGGTCTCAAACCCGTGAGCTCAGGTAATCCTCTTGCCTTGGCCTCACTAAGTGCTGGGATTACAGGCTTGAGCCACTGTGCCTGGCCAACCTTATTTTTTTTTTTTTTTTTTTGAGTTGGAGTCTCACTCTG